CTACCCAGCACCCACCAGTTACCACTACGCACCTTCTTTATCACCTTTTTTTTTATATAATTTATCACCTTTTCATTATCCTTATCACCTTTTCATTATCATTATCACCTTTTTTATCACCTTTATCACCTTTTATCACCTTTCTTATCACCTTTAGGGTTTAGGGCCTAGGGTTTGGGCTCTAGGGTTTAGGGTTTAGGGACACATTTCAGGCCGGAAATGTGTCATCTTTTCCGCCTTACAGAAGGAAGCATGACACATTTCAGGCCGGAAATGTGTCATCGTTTCCGCCTTACAGAAAGAAGCATGACACATTTCAGGCCGGAAATGTGTCATCGTTTCCGCCTTACAGAAAGAAGCATGACACATTTCAGGCCGGAAATGTGTCATCGTTTCCGCCTTACAGAAAGAAGCATGACACATTTCAGGCCGGAAATGTGTCATCTTTTCCGCCTTACAGAAGGAAGCATGACACATTTCAGGCCGGAAATGTGTCATCGTTTCCGCCTTACAGAAAGAAGCATGACACATTTCAGGCCGGAAATGTGTCATCTTTTCGGCCTTACAGAAAGAAGCATGACACATTTCAGGCCGGAAATGTGTCATCGTTTCCGCCTTACAGAAAGCAGCATGACACATTTCAGGCCGGAAATGTGTCATCTTTTCCGCCTTACAGAAGGAAGCATGATACATTTCAGGCCGGAAATGTGTCATCGTTTCCGCCTTACAGAAAGCAGCATGACACATTTCAGGCCGGAAATGTGTCATCTTTTCCGCCTTACAGAAGGAAGCATGACACATTTCAGGCCGGAAATGTGTAATCTTTTCCGCCTTACATAAGGAAGCATGACACATTTCAGGCCGGAAATTTGTCATCGTTTCCGCCTTACAGAAAGAAGCATGACACATTTCAGGCCGGAAATGTGTCATCGTTTCCGCCTTACAGAAAGCAGCATGACACATTTCAGGCCGGAAATGTGTCATCTTTTCCGCCTTACAGAAGGAAGCATGACACATTTCAGGCCTCCCCCTGTTCCCTTGCCCCCTCTCCTACCATCCCTGCCTTCCCCACCTCCTCACCTTTCCCTCCCCTTTGCCATTTGCCCCCTGCCCCCTGCCATCTCCATCATATCCATCACCCCCATCATCTTCTTCATCTCCATCATCGTCATCATCTCCATCATCTCCATCATCTTCATCATCTCCATCATCTCCATCATCTCCATCATCTTCATTATCTTCATCATCTCCAGTATCTTCATCATCTTCATCATCTGCATCATCTTCATCATCTTCATCATCTTCGTTGCCGGATTCATTGGTTTTAATACCGCTCCCTCTATTCTTAAAGGTAATTTCATAGGTATTGTACGAACCATAATACAATCGATTTATCTTAACTACTATATCAAGAATAGCTTACCACATCGCATCTACATACTTTGTAACCGGGCTTACTATAAAGGCCCCATATGAGGGATCCATAATGGGTTTCTAGAAAGTCTCTCTATAAGGGATCTATAGTTTTTTATATAATGGATTTGTATAAGGTCTCTACATAGAGGATCTATAAGATTTCTATAAGCAATCTGTAAGGGTTTTCCAGAAGGGCTCCATACGAGGGATCTATACAGGGCTTCCATGTGGTTTCTACAAAGGGTAAGGAATATATAGCAGTTGTCTATGAAAGCTCCATGTAAGGGATCTTGTAAAGTTTTCTACAAAGAACTCCATTTGTTGATCTATACGGGGTTTCTATAAGTTCTCTATATAGGGGATCTATAAAGTTTCTATACGAATCTATAAAGGCTGTCTATGAGGGCTCCATACAAGGGATCTGTGAAGGGATCTATGGCTAATGCTGTGATCACATCAGATCTGATATGTATAGAGATACCTTGGAATGCACGTGGGAAAACAAACTGACACATTACAGGCCTTCTAATGTGTCATTATTCCTATTGAAACCTTAAAGGCAAGGAACTTATACACTGTAGGGCATCTGTATATTGGAAGGCCTCTGGGTAGTATAAATTGACGCATTACAGGCCCTCTAATGTGTCACTCCACTCCCTCCTATGGAACCTCTATTGCAATGGAACTTTTCCACTGGAAAACCCCTGGACATAATAAACTGACACACTGCAGGCCCTATAATGTGTCGCTCCACCTATCCTATTGAAATCCTACTGATAAGAAATTGATACATCGGAAAGTACTTTTTATGGACATAGCAAACTGGCACATTAAACCCACTATAATGTGTATCTTCACTTCCTGGGTCCTGGACTGGGCAAATTGACATATGACATGCCCTCTAATGTGTCACTCCATTTCTCCTACTGAAACCCTACTAACAAGGAACTTATACACTGTCAGGCCCCTGTGCCTGGGCATATCAAATTGACATATTACAGGCACCCTAATGTGTCACTCCACCCACTCCGATTGACCCTCTACTGACAAGGAACTTATACATTGGAAAGTCCAGGACATAACAGATTGGCACATTACATGCCCTGTAAAGTGTTACATCATGTGATATGGATGTGTCATGCCGTATGTATTCCCATAATTTGTCATATAAACACATCCGATTCATGAGTACCGAACCTGTCAGGTTTTGCATTCTGGCCTGTGCGGAAATTACAAACAAATTTATGCCATATTACAGCGTGCATGCTTATTACGTGATTCTTGGATGGATATGTCGTATGCAATTACTCAAGCGCTGGCAAGTCAACAATAAGTCGAATTGTGAAATATTTGGACAGGACAATTTGTCCATGTTGCCGATATACTGCTGACAGTGCTATGCATATCTTCACGACGATACATCATTCCTGCAAGATGTATGGACTCTATACACTGAATGGTGTCATCACAACGAATGTTTATTCATCGACATTGTTGGGATCAACACTCGATGTTGTGTTTATATAATACTCGTCTCCCTGAATGCGAGTAATTTGCTATAGTTACTTGATAGAAAAATATAGCCTAGTCGATCCGAAACTTTTCAGGTCGTGGCTTTGTAATGTGGGCTGTGCTTATACCTTACATTTTGCTTTCCATTATGTGCTGAAGACAACAAACCGCGGTTGGTTCTAAGCCGGATCATGTACCCAGTGTTTTTGGGCTTTTTATGACATTAAGCTTTTGAGGCCTTTGAGGCTGCGGACACATAAGCACAGTATCTGAACACCCTTGCAGTGCAACTGGTACTTTGCTAAGCAATAAACATCGCGATACTTGCATATGCGATACTTGCATGCGTTTCATTTTCCAACCTAGTGCGATGTGCATGCCATCCAGAAAACTCGCCTGCGTGGCGTGGTTTCAAAAACCGCAATGCGCGAGATTTTACGCTACACGAAAAAGTTTGACTGTTTCGTGGAAGGAAACGACGACCATGTTGCCACGATCGAGCGTGTGAGATGAGCGGCCCTTCAGTAGCGATCGTGCTTGATATTCATCGATGAGTAGACGCCATTTTTCACGATCATTATGTCGTGGTAAAGTGCCTGATAGCCTTGTCCGAATCCATCTCTTAATAAGAGACCATTTGCATTCGATGGCATTGGTGCTGAACCCATTCTGGTTTACGATCTCGCCCTGGGAGTGATTGACAATCTCATGACGAAGAGTCTTCTCCGATAGTCCATGAAGTTCGCGATGGGCTTTGAGAGCAGATAGAGTAGCCTTCCATTTGTCGCTTACAAAGATGTCTCCACTTTTCATTCCCAACATGGAAAGGTTCGTTTTCATCTCCTGGTGTCCACGTGGTTTTCCGTCATGTGCATCTGCTGCGTTCTTCAGGATGCGAAAAATAAAGTGTGTCTTGACGTGTTCGTGGAGCACTGCACCCCACAGCCATATTTGATCACGTTCAGGGCGTCCGGAGCGTGAAAGAGCACCTGGCTTTTTTTGTTCAAATGCGTCTCATCTGCTATGAAAATACGTGCATTACCAGCATACTTCAAGTGCATCTTCTTGGGCTTCTTGAGTGATGTTGACGAGGATGAAGGTCTCTTCAAGGACGAAGCTGGTTTCTTTGTGGGTGCCGTACGAGAAGAAGGCTTCTTCACAACATGATAAGCAGCAGCTGGCTTCTTGGTAGTGACTTTGCAAACAGAAGGCTTTCGAAGTAGCTCTTGAGATAAAGCACTATCAAAGCCCTGACTCATCTGCAATTGAAACCAGCTGCTCAGAGTTCCTTGGAAGGAAGCAATCCAGGAATCGATGCTATCATGTCGTGCTGGATGGAGTTCCCGAACAATTTGTTGACGAGGATACTCCAGAATCCACATAACAAAGCACTCCAACTTTGTCATCCACATGCACTGCTTGACATGATGAAGGAAACCGATGGAAGCTGCCTGATACTGTTTATCACGGCAATCCGGACATCCAGAGATATCAGACCGACTGCCACGCCAGCAATAGCGCTGGGCTCTGAAAACTAGCGTGCACGGGAAGGAACAACTTTCGCAGACCCTTTCGTCAGGCACAAGTTTGAGAGCTTGAAGTGCAAGAAGAGCACGTGTGGCCAATGAGTCTGGTAGAGGATCAGGATCACGAACGACGCTATATCTCACTGTTGATAAGAACTCGGTCCTGTTCACAAAGTCAGCAGCGAGGATAGCGCTCCGGAATGCGATCCAATCTGCATAAGAAACCATGTTGCGTCAAATACTTTGGAAATTGAGTTTGATAGCTGCAGGTGTGGACGTGTAGTTCAGCACATCATGTTCATTTTCCAACACAGTGCAACAAAACAACAGCACGTCATTACACTATGGTATTTTCGATGCATCTGAAGCCTTTGTCCGCTGATCTCCACTGCAACCATTCGGTCTAGCACCAGGCGTCTTAAAATGTGATATCCCTTTGTCGTATTTAAATGAACGCAAATCATAAAACTTCAAAGGTGTATTCGCCCCAGGGACTTCACAGACGCACTCACGACGCTCTGCTACGAAAGTATAGCTACTGTTTTTCTACTCTTCCACGTCCATTGCGTCTATCTCCCTTTCCAACGCCATTTCGAGTTCATCTGGAACGTGGCCCACATCAGGGAAATCCTCGTTCACGTTGTCGGTGTGGTCGCCGAAGCCTAGTAAGTGAGAGTGAAAAAAAACAAATATGAAGATAAGATCGCAGTGCCAAGATACTATGTGTGAAGATTTCCTACGATGTTATCTTATACTTACAACGCGAGCGGCCTGGAAAGTCAGGGTTCAGAATTGCTGTAGAAGATGGAACATCACCGCGTGCACTCTTACTGGAATGCGACGTGCTTGAATCAGCAGCATCCACATGCGGACGTTTCTTTGGAGATGGTGAGGGGGTATCCAAGTCGATTGCCTGAGGGCCACTCTCCTTTAAGTTGCGGAAGGCGTGAATGACCTTTTCTTTCTTGACTTTTGCGAGAAGAACTTGTTCCGGAAGAATAGCAGGGCGAGACTGTTCAGGATACCTTTCTATATCATGCTTTTAGTGAAACCGTGTGGAAGGAAAACAAACAACCTATCTAACTATTTAAAATATCGGGCTATGCTATGAAAACAACTTATGAGGAATCCGGTAGATGGTGCAACCACGAGGGATACTCTCGCCGTTTAGGAGACGTCGAAGAAGTTCCTGTGACCACACGGAATCCTCATGATAGGACGGGGGAAGTTCGTGAGCATGCGGGTTGAGCTTGTAGGCTTTGAAGATCTCGTGCTGGGACTGGACGAGAAGATCTTTGGGCTCGTTGTCCCAGGGAATGAAGCTCACATAGTCTTTGGCCGTTGCAGCAACGCGATGATACACGCCACTGTCTGTAAGGACAATGAAATGGGTGCGTGCTAAAATAGCATCGAGGTCTTCTGCTTCGTCCACAGCACTGAAGGAGGGAGTGATCAACTTGATGAAATTCTCATGAGAGATATGCCAGCACTTGGTGGTTTTCATGCTGGCGAAAGCTTCCTCATCCACGCTGCGGTCATATGGGTTGTTGCAGGCATGGCGGCCCGCACCTTGCTCGAAGTGTGCCGATGAATACCTTGCCCAGACTGTGGCATCCTCTTCCTAAGTGTGTATGTTATTATGTTGATTCGACGATTCTTGGAAATGCAAAACTGTATCAATAAAAAAAGGAAAATTTGTCAAGCCACGGATGGATTGAGAAACGCCTTGAGGAAGGATGCGTCCATCTTTTGCAGCATGCCGTCATCGAAGACACCTGGTTTAAATCTGGTGAGGGGTTCCGCTTTAAAGAAGTCCAGGTGTTTCGCTGTAAGGATGGAGGGAACCAAGTCTGTGCGGTCTGCCAGGTCAATCTCGTACTTGGATTGGGTGAACAGGACAGTCTTTGAGCCCAAGGACTTGCCTGCACGGGTTCGTCCTATCCATGTGATAGCATGTTGTCGCATCGATGGAAGCATCTTGCTCAGAACGTTGTCCAAGAACCAGGGTGTGAACGACTTTAAGGTAAACGGCCAGTGCTCAATCGTCTTCGCGTTTTGTCTACCACGCATATGATTGTGGAGCGCTTCCTTTACCTTACCCTCGGACCAACCCTCAATTTTGCTACCAGGGGTGTTGATCTGCTCATCAGTCCACTCCATGAACTGATTGCGGTTGTTGGCCTTGGGACCAAAATCGCGGATGAACTTGTAGCCCTCCTCTCTGGCTTGCTGATCAATAGAAATCTTCTTTTCGAACTTCGGCTTGATAAGCCAGTAACGTAGTTGCTTGCCACCCATTTTGTCAAGCATGAAATTGAGGCCCGTGAGAGCAAGCCGGGTGTGATTTCCCCAATCAAACCGCAAAGGGGTACCATGACACATCTGGACACAATCTGAAGCTGAGACCTTGTTGCGGTGAAGGTACACATGCTTGAAGATGTGAACATAGGATCCATCCGTATCTCCTCCGGGAGGTGGCTGTGCAGTTTGTATGATGATTTGCATGCTGTACGGCACGGAGGGCTCTTTCTTCAAGTTGAAGGGCTCAGGGAGATTGGAATATTTGTTCTCGCAGCAAAACTTGTAGAGGTTGTCAAACATGGCGACGGTGACCTCGAGTGGGTGATGCATGATAGCATCAGCAAATTGCTCGAGTTTGGTGGCCGTGGAATCGAGATGACGAACAGGTAGATCACCGATGGTCACTTCCCCCGTTGTTCGGTCTGAACGCAGGGGTCGTCTCTCTGGACCTTGGAGCTTCATACCATTTACTTGCCCAACAGCTTCATCAAAATTCATGCTACCGTCTTGACCACCTTCATCTACGCGGAAGCTTGCCATGGTAGGAATTGCTACACGTAATACGATATTGCGTAAGCGAGAACGCTGCGAAGATTTCAATTCATACACAGACGTGTAGAATGAGTGTGATGTGATGTAATTGGAAAACGCAGTTGCGCTGGCACGAGGCGCACTTCCCTTTTTCGTCGTGATCGAGTGAGAACTGCTCTCTTGTGAGACGCATTGAATAGCTTAGCTAATCAATGTCAACAGATCCTCACATGTCAAAAGCTCCTCGCCCTTCTCAGTCAGTTTGCAAACAATATTGTTCACGTCCAGCACTTTGGAACCTGACCGAAATAGACAAGTAGCCATAACACATAGAACTACGTCGAATACAATACAACGTTATTACTCTAACGAAAACTCTCGGGAAGTTTTTGTTAATTCATGTCTAAGCAACCATCAGGCAAAGTAGCGATGTGACGTTCCCGGTATACCGGCGCACTTGGTACTGAATCGGCCGCTGCTTTTGCATGCGGTCCTCAATACGCTGGTTTTGATCATACAACAGAACAAGTTGGAATATAACAAACACGAATATGTGGATATGATCTAAAAAAATACACAAATCTATGAGAAAAGAGTCGACTCAAGCAATCGCGGATGTTAAGCAGAATGTCCAAGGGAAGGCGCTGCTGTGGGAAGGCCATACTATCAACAGGACCAACAGTGCTCGACTCGAACAAGGCAGCTTGAGCGGAAACATGAGCCAATATGAATAAGAGCCGAAAGAAAACCAATAGCACAAAAACCAAAAAACCAATATCAAAAAAATCAAAAAAACCAATACTAAAAAAACCAAAAAAATCAAAAAAACCAATATTCCAGAACTCTTTCATACATATACATAATTTCAAAGAGCTCTGAAATATTGGTTTTTTTGATTTTTTTGGTTTTTTTGGTATTGGTTTTTTTGATTTTTTTGGTATTGGTTCTTTCGGTTTTGGTGGGATTGGTTTCTATTTAGGAACGCCCCTGGAAGGCATAGAACACGCAGTGCTTCATGAGCACCGTACCTGCAAGTCAGAAGAGACCAAAAACGCTGGGCGCGCGAACCGGCCTAAAGCCCCGCGGTTATATAGACCCTAAAGGTATCGGGCACATATATATATATATATATACATATATATATGTATATATATATATATTTACATATATATATATATATATATACATATAAACAGATATAAGTTTGCGTTGATAGTCATATACATACACATATAAGTTACTATATGCTAACATATATCTATACATATATATACACATACATACATATTTACACGCAGGCTACGGGTGTATACAGGTGTGAATGTCCATATATATAAATGCAAAATATATGTGTACATATATGCACATGTATACATATGTATATATACGCACACATATACGTATATGTATATACTAAGCACATACATGCTAGATATGCGCTCTCTTTTCTTTCACACACACATACGTCTATATATATATATATATATGCTACCCCCCCCAAAGACCAAGGTTTTCAGATAAGAACATTGGTGGGTGCTCCCATTAATGTAGAATTCTAATGCTATTCTGGAAGAGTACTGAAATAATGTTTTTTGGGTAGTGTTTTTTTGTTTTTGGTGGTATTGTTTTTTGTTTTTTGTTGGTATTGTGTTTTGGTTTCTCGCCTAGAGCCATTCTAAGGGCTATCACGACCAAAACGCTTTCGATTCAAGTGCCATATTCTGTTGACGGCTTACTTCGTATGGAAACTCGCCCCATGCCGTGTGCTTTATTAGCTTCAGTTGTAGTATGTGGTCAACCCCACAAACACATTTATTCTTATACTATTGGTTTTAAGAAATCAAGCTACTTGTAACGTTTAAAAACACCTACCAAGCATAGTACCTCGATGCCATCGTTTAGTGTGTACCATTTATTGTATGCGAAAAGAAAAGGTTAACTATTCGCCAGCTGAATATAGAATTGAACTTCCGGGGTTTGTTAATTACTACAGATGTGGCCCTACAAAGACATGTATTCTTTAGACTATATGTTTGAGATATCAAGCATATAGTCTTATAGTTTAAACATGCCTATCAAGTATAAGACCTCGGTGTTACCATTTAGCATGCACCATTTCATTCTTGGAAAAATAAGGTTAAGCACTCAGCAATTATACAATCGAATTTACAGGGTCTGTTAACTGCTAATTGCAAATAATATGGCTTGAGATTCCTTGTTGCGATTTACCCAGATAGCTGCTTAATTAATAGAGGCAGTATAGTAGAACCTTGGAAGCTATACTTTTGAATAGGAGCCAAACAACCTGAAGAAGTCTCTCTACAACTAAGCTATTCATGAAGTGCCTTGCCAGTTAACACGAATAGACAGAAAACTATATTTATAATGCTTCATATGATACCACTACACCCAGGGATAATGACATACTTATACGGATTACTGACTGCAGAAACAGGATTTTTCATTATGTTGGTAATTAGATGATTGAGTAGATTGAATTGAATCCTCGGATCAATTCAGACCGCTTCGATAGAGGGGTGGGGGGGGTTCTTGTTCATAGGTTTGGGGAACAACAACCCCCCCCCCTTGTTGTTCCCATTTTGAGAGAACAACAAGCCACCCCCCCCTTGTTGTTCCCCCCCCCTGTTGTTCACTTTTGAGAGAACAATAACAACCCCCCCCCTATTGTTGTTCCCATTTTGAGACAACAACAACCCCCCCCCCTTGTTGTTCCCATTTTGAGAGAACAACAAGCCCCCCCCCCCCTTGTTGTTCCCCTTTTGAGAGAACAACAACCCCCCCCTTGTTGTTCCCATTTTGTTGGAACACAACCCCCCCCCCCCCCCATTGTTGTTCAACCCCCCCCCCGTTTTCTTCGAACAACAACCCCCCCCCCCCCATTGTTGTTCACCCCCCCCCCCCCCTCCCCGCCTCCGCCCACGGGGTGGGGGGGGTTGTTGTTTCCCAAATCCACGAACAACAACCCCCCCCACCCCTCCCTATCGAAGCGGTCTCGATCAATTCAAGCATAGGGCTTGCTGAGCTAACAATCGTCAGATTTACATATATAAATAGCATAGAGGGCTTGTTGTCTGCCGATTAGAACTCAGAAAGCAATATATTCACAGTAGTGCCTGTAGGGACAACGTTATACTTATATGAAGATGTAGCTTAGTATATAGCTGTAGAATATTATTTTCACAAGTACGCAAAAAGCTGGATAGGCCAGATCCTCGGACCTATTTAGGCGGAGTGTTTATTTACTTATATCAAATCAGTTCTAAGTATTATAACAATACGGTGCATTTAGTAGTCTTTCCAATAATTGAATCGAACATATACATTCATGCACAGATTGCTAGTTACATGGACGTCAAAGTATGTGCTTTTGATACCTCAGTAGCATACAGTTCGATAGATTGAGCCCTCGATTATATTCTTAGTATTCCAACTGCATTTGTTGCATAAAACTAGTAGTGCTATCTGATATTAAGCTGGGCGTAATTCAAAAGAATACGTTTAGGGAAGCTTAAAGGTAGTATCATACGTCTAGTTGATGACTTTCTCTTCATAGCCCTTAAAACCCATATGCGTGTACTCCAAAGTACGCAAACGCAGCGGTAGACTTTGACCCCTGAACCCAATTTTCACACTTCCACGTACGGCCCTCATGATCGATTTCAAGATAAACCCTATTGAGTTCAATAGGGCATATTGAACTCAATAGGCCTCCCGGATTGAAGATTGAAGATCTCCCATGAAACTTTTTGAGGGCATCTTCAATCTTCAATCCAGAAGGCCTATTGAATTCAATAGGCCTCCTGGAATGTGCGACAAGAAATGATATACGGATTATTGTATGCAGGCTTGTATGAAAACCACAAGGGGTTTGTGTCATGCATGTTTGTCCCTACACCTTAACAGGGTTGTTATTGGGACCCTGCCGCCCCAAAGACCAACGACTATCGGCTAGTGTAAGTAGGCTTGTATCTAAAGCTCTTATAGAAACCTTGGTCTTTGGGGGGGTACCATATATATATATATATATATATATATGTGTATATATATATATATATATATTCCTGCACATGTAAAATACATAAACTACGCACTGCAGAAACACAACACACCAGATAAAGCGGCTGAATAATGTCTGTTATGCATGCATATACATATGTGTCTTGTGTTCACACCCTTTGTAATTCCTCAATATGCCACACTCTTAATGTATGTCAGTTTGCAAGGTTTCGATTTGCGTCTATGTCAAGTTTCGATTTTTCGCAAGCTATTGCCGAAGTCAAATTTGCAGGTTTCGTGTAGATGGGGCAAGTCACCCCCGCCCCCAATCCCCCACCCCCGCTCAAGCCAAGCCAAGCCCAAGTCAAGCCCAAGCCAAGCCACGCCAGCCAATCCAAGCCAAGCCACGCCAAGCCGAACCTGCCACTTGGCGCTCCCTACCATCGTTGCTGCATAAGCTACATGCCGAGAGGGTGCGTTTAGCTTTTATCTGGATGAGACTGTGACCTGACCTGCGAGCTGTCATGAGAGGCTACAATGATGCATGCCGGAGATTGATTCGGCAACTTAGTTGCGCACTGGTGTGCCTGGGAGGCCACAGCAAGCCGACCCCTCCTCCCGAACTAGAGCTCTCTTCTCTTCTGTTCATTTCCCTTAATGTCTTTCTCGCTCAAACGCTTTTCGTTGATAGAGGTGTGTCAAGGAATATTGGTTCATCATCTTTTCAATTCACACTTCTCATTGTCGAAACAACAAACCCACCGGTAGGCTTCATTTCATTTCACTCCTTTGTGTTTCATTATATAAAGATGGGGCATCAGTTGTGGTTCGTTCATGTGTGTTTCGCTTGAACTACTTAAACATGCACTTCTTTTCCTTTCGTTTCTTTTACTTAATTGAAGCAAAGTACACACGCTCACTGCCAACAACCTAAAGCGGTGCTTTAACGCGCAACACACGCGGCTTCATTTGTTTCTCCCTCATCAACCCAC